TCAGATCTCTTTATTTTGTAAAAGCATTAACGCTGCGCAGAAGTAGCACCAATAATGGGAAGAAGCCCAAATTTTATGAGAGGAGTGGCGATTCTAGTAAACTCAAATGTCGCATCCAATTGTGGAGAGTTTTAATGGTTTGACTGCCAAGATCCCAAAGTTAAATGTCGAAGTTCCTAAGTGTGGAAACACATATGCCCAAAACTACTCCAAATGAATGAACTAACGGGGTACTTATAGTAAGAGGGCTAGAATAATTAACGAATAGGATCATCCGTCGTGGGATTCCCGATACCGGGGTATCAATAGTGATCCAGTTGTCTAGTGTTGAGAGGATGCGGGCCAAAAGATGACTTATAACATGTCATGACAACGCCAATGACGAGTTACCACAATCAAGAGGACATGGGCGGGAAAATTGCCCAAATAGACTGAAACCTATTGTACGACAGCCGATTCAATCCGAAACTTTCAATTTTAATAATTAAGTCCTAACCCTTTTGAAAATCTTTTTTCAACCATGCGAAGATTTTCTTCATTTGCTCTCAATGTAATACCTTAGAATCTCACGTGTTTTTCCTGAAGAAAATGTCAAATTACTGACATATACTCTATCTTCCCCCTAATTAACAACACTTTTTTTTTTATCTTTTTCGAATGGACTTTAGTTGTTGTGGAAGTAGATCTCCGAATCCGGCTGACAATGGCCAAATTCCCCTCCGTGATTCCAGATCCACGATGCATTGCTTGCCGTCCAAAATGGGTCCTGCCCCAACCCTAGCACCGGGATTTGTTGACCACTTAGCCAAAGTTGCATCAAGATTCACATCACATCACGTTACATTTTGCATTAAAGTATGCAATCTCCAACTCCAGCCTTTCTTTTCTTTTTCTTTTTCTTTCCTTCATCTTCTCGATGTCATCTTTGGTGGGAAGCTTCCTCCATTTTGCTTAGTTTAGGTTCGATGGGGTCATGGGGCTATGCGTTGCGCTTGTCCCACCCGAGATTTCGTTTTGACGTATTTGGGGATTTACGTAGATTCGTTGCAATGACTATTGATGTGACCTTGTACTAACTTAGAATGATTATTCAAAGCTAGGAGATAGACATTGGGACGAGAGGCTTTTCTTGCTTTTCTTGCTTGTGGGGAGGGGAGGCTTACGTTCTTGAAGGGGCAAATTTTTTAGGTTAGGCAAGTTCAGAAACGACCTGTCTATGATGGCGAGCCTAATCCTATTGTACGTCCCACATGCATTCCCTATTTATGCTTCGTATTTACGTGAAAGTGAGAAGAATGCCCCTTTCCATATCTTTTATTGTCTAGCAATTGCTCGCCACGAAAGGTTTTGGAGCTTGACAAGAAATGTAGGTGCTTGTCGCGGTCTAGGTGGACCAATTTAGAGTTTGGAACTTTGAGAGGGATAGTTAGAGAGGTTTGTTTTGGAGAATTTGCGATCGGGAATTGGACCGGTCTATTTTAGGTTCTATCTTAGAGCCCGAATCTATATTTTATGATATTATAATTGCGAGATTTGAGTTGTTTGAAGTACTTAAAACCTAGCCTAATCAATTACAAAGGAACAAAATATAAATTATCAAGAGCAAATTGGGTCTAAATCAACTAAATTATTATGACAAAAAAAATCGGAAATGTGGCCAGAAAAGTGTGACTAAAATAATGAATTTTCTAGTCCGAAACGGACTATGCCACCTTTAGGTATTGGCAAAATGATGTAGCAATTCCGGTCAATTCGCGAGTCGAACCGGAACCGATGGTCCTTCCATAAGGAAGTTCCCTCAAGTATGCACGCCAAACCACTATTTCTCCATAGTGGTAGACTTAGATGGAAAGGGAACCCTAATGGCCTCTTCAAGTCTTTCTATGGCTGCTCTAATTAATCTCCGGCTACGAAAATTTAGGTTGATGAAGGGTCTCTCATCACTCCTCAAAGGACGGACACTACTGTCAAGGATTCGAATTTAACGCATTATTGCCGCAGAAAATTCAATCTTGACGACTTGATCGCATGCACATGAGAAAGCTGCTTCAAATAATGTCTCTCGAGGACCCACGAGTCCAGTCTCAAGCATCATAAAAATAATTTTTTTGAAGCCTTTTGAATTTACTAATTACATCACATGGCTAGAAACAGTCGAGTCTTCACATACACACACACACACACACATATATATAAATTCATGACGCTAAGAGTATGCTAAGGAGACAAGACACCCATAATTGAAGGCCATTCAATTTTGACTTGGTACGGCAGGTATGAACTTAGATTTATCAGATTTTCCTCCGTCCTATTTAGCGAACGGATTCCCATATGATACTCCTTGCTCCACGTGGCTTGCTCTCGTTTAAATTATTCATGCAAATGTTTAGATTATTGATATTATTGTTATCGTCGTTATCGTCACGTCACATAAGTTTGAACTATGACTAAAAAAATCACACACATGTATGTAGGTGAAAAAGATGGGGAAAAGGGAATAAATAGAAGGAAGAATAAGTGTCATTTGGATTATTTCAGAAGATGAATATGAAATTTGACAAGATGGGAAAAAAATTAAACTTACATTTAGATTACATGAGATATTTATGTAATGACATGAATATTAATAGCCTTTGTAAATTACCATTTTATCTATAAATGATACCATGCGGTTATTAGTCATGTAACATCAACCATGGACATCATTGTACATTTTTCGGGGAGGTTGAAAATCACTTCAATTTTTTTTATTTGCTTTTTTTTTTCCAATATAGACATATCAAAATATGCCCTTTTGTCCCTAGACAAGATTAAGAATAAGAATTCGACACGATTGGCTGTGGCAAATGAATTATATTCCTTTCATACCCGATTTATGCGGGACGGGGATTATCACACCCAATGGGATTAATCGAGTGTTCAAAAAGTTGCGAACACTCATTGATTTCGAAACCGAAAAAAGTGAAACGGATCGACTTACCTACAGTTTAGCGGGAAATGTTATTTCAGCATTAACGAGACGGCTTGACAAAAGCCTTTCATTTCCTCAATTGGAACGAATTCTTTTCGGGCGAATGCAATCGATTGTCAATCAAATATGCTTGATTAACTAACAAATATACATATGTCCAACATGTACAATGATCTTCAACCCTAATGACCGGATCAAATTCCTTAAACTTAGGGGTCATTAGTAGGACCAAAATTGATCCAAAGATCTCAATTTGGCGAGTAATTCTCTAACTGGGTTGCGTTTGCGTGCGACATTACAGCTATATCTAGAACAAGGGAATTCAATGAGGGGAAAAAACGAGTCAAAAAAGAAACAGAAAGAACCTCGGAGAGACTTTCAAGGTCTTGACTTGGAATTTCGGGATCGTTACGCATTGAATTTATTTATTTTTTAAATCCGATTGTCTATTATGTCGCGATTTATTGATTGTCATCATGGCGGATTTTGTTGTAATTATTGAATATTTGACCGCCCGACAATTACTAGGAACATTAGGGTTTGGAAAGCAACTCTGGAAATTTCTCTCAAGAGTTGCCAAATCTCAATACGTGTTAAATAATTTCCAAATGTCAAGACGTGATCATTTAATGATGAATCAAATATTTTCATAAGTTACCAGAAATTATCTATTATTAAATAAAATTCATCGTATGTAGAATGTATTGAATAAATGTCGCGATAAGTTTTTGGGATTAATTTGCAGAAAAGTCATAATGTCAAGACTCATTAAAAGTTGTTTTAGTAACGATTTTTTTTACCTTTTAGGAAATGCCGCCATCCATGATTTTTCAGATATCCATAAGTTTTATTTTGGAGAATGGGTGAAATTAACAAAAAAAAATTCATCCTTAAGTGTTCCCTACATTACATTCTCGAACATCTCTAGTTTCAAAATATATTTCATTACGCGCTTGAGTTTCAAGAAAAGTATATTTTGAATCATAATTTCACAATCGTCCCAAAAAAAATCGCAATTTCGCGGGACTCACGCTTTGACTTTTCAATTTTAATTTGAACAACCCTACTTGTAATTTTTTTACTTTCGCCTTCGTTCTGCGGAAATCGTACTTGTACTTTTATTTAACCCGAATATTTGTCGTCTTTCATGATTAAATGCGCTTTCCTAATTCCTCAAAATTCCTTCGCACCAAAGATACAAATTCTTCATCTATCTTTAAATTTTTTTTTTCGGAAACTCGAGATTATTGCACACGAGGATGAATATTGTGATCAAAGTCTCCGGATTTTAGACCCACTAGAAGTAGACACATACCTTAATTATTGTTAGATATACCTAAATCCACGCATATCTCGCGTGAATAATAGTAGGATGGCAACATCAATTGCAAGCCTAAGGGTGTGATCCTAACTACATATATTTTTTTTCTTGTAGGGTACTCAAGAGCGGAAAAAGCTTTTCCTTATTCAAGCACGGCTCCAAAAGAAACTACCTTGTAAAGGGTGTCCAAAAAGATTACGGTCCATATCATCATAAAATCGATCGACATTTTGGGCGAGCTTCTAGCCCCTTCGAGGCACCATCGGATTGAAAAGTAAAACCCTGCGATCTTCCGGGCCGAGATTTATCGAACGATCGGGATCTGTTGTAATTTTCAATTCGATGGCTCTTCTAGAAACCGAATAATCGCCTCGAGATTTTACCCCGAATTAGCTTCGATAATCTACCGAGTGGATAACCACGGATCCAGCCTAAGGACTTTCACCAGCTAATCACAGCTTTTACCTTTTCCAAAAGAGAGAAACAAATCCCCCCCTATTTTTGGTCCTGCCAAAGAAGGGAGAATCCCTAGTCCTCCGACGCGAAAAAGATAGCTTCGGAGGCAAATAGGGAAGAGAATTGGAAAAGGCCATGCCAACCCTAATTTTCAGCCTTACCCTTAAAGAACAAACTGACAAAATCTCTCTCTGCTTAAAATATGAAATCTGACTCATTCGCAGGCCGATATATCTCACAACCTCGCCCGCCCCCACTTGGAATTGAATTCCTTCGCTTTCCCTCTTGCCATGTCATGTGAGTAAACAAACCAAGATCAAGAAAAGCTCTGTCAGTCTCTCTCTCTCTCTCTCTCTCTCTCTCCGTAAACAGAAACCCTCCTCTGACCCGATAGTTCAGTCACAAAATCTGCATGTGTACGTTGCTGCTTACCGCGTCCCCAAGGCTCTTCCACCTCTATCTTTAACGCTCGTTCAAGCCAAGCCATCATTATTAATAGGTAGTGCCAGAGAGAGAGAGAGAGAGAGAGAGAGGGGGAGGGAGGGAGCGAGGGATCCGAGCACCTTTTCCAAGTTTTTCAGTTACTGAGGACCCCCCCACACTGCTTTTAATTAATTCCATCCGAGTCGATTAATTGAAACCCAAGTCACCCTCTTCCGAGTCTTCTCTCTCTCTATATATAACGTTCCATCCACCCTTTGGCCTTCTTCATATGTCCCCTCAGATCCTAGGACAAAACCAATAGAGGAGGAGGAGGAGGAGGAGAAACAGGGAGAGTTCTTGAACGGCTCTCTTGAAGGAGATCAACGCGGAGGCTGTTCGGCTTTGAAGCAGAATCGGTTGAAAGAAGGCTTTTGGGGAAGTGGGTATCAGTTTAATTGGTGTGGTGTTGTTACAGAAGGGAGAGAAATGGCCATCCAAGCGCAGTTGTATCCTGGGAATAACGTTGGCGTTGGGTTGCCACCGTGGGGCTCTTCTCAAGGTTATGGTGTTGCGGCCAACCACAATGGTTGTGGGTACGACTATGGCTTTTCCGGGATGAAACAGAGAGAGCAGCAGCAATTGCAATTGGAGTTGTTCTTGCAGCAGCAACTGCAGAATCATGACCAGAGGAGCAATGGAAACTGGTGTTTTGACAACACCTCGCTTGTGACTGCTCCTGAAGACGGTGCATACAAGAACAATCACCTTAGCATCAACGACATGGTTCAAGCAGCAGCACCAATTGCTGCTGCTGCTGCTGCATCTTCTTCTTCTTCTTATTCCCAGAGCCTCCCTTTCCAACTCGATCCGCATGGCCAAGAAATCGACCACCTCCTCAGACTACAGGTGAGCCACATACCCGACCCGACACGGTACCATAAGATTTCTTATATTTTGCCAAATATGTGATCGACGAAGCATATGTCGGAAAGAGATTAGTTGTCCCTGACCCTGCTTTTATCTGAAGTGTTATGCACGTCGATGAAGCATTTTATGCCGTTATATTTAATTCGATTAATCTTTGGCAATTACAGAACGAGAGATTGAGGTGGCTGGTGCACGAACAGAGCAAGCGGCAAATCGAGTCGATGACGAGGAAGATCGAATTGAGAGTGCAAATCTTGTTGAGGCAGAAGGACGAAGAGATTGCGCAAGCGGCAAGAAAGGCCGCAGAGCTGGAGGAACTCCTGAGGAGGCTAGAGGTGGAGGGCCAGGAGTGGCAAAGGGTGGCCCGAGAGAACGAGGCCATGGCCGCGTCGCTGAGCAACGCGCTCGAGCAGCTGAAGGACAGCGCCTGTTGCAGGACTTCGAGCTCGTGCAGCAGCAACGGAAATGTAGGGGAAGACGACGCAGAGTCGTGCTGTCACGTGATGACGAACACGAATCCGAACAGGGAGAGTGGTAAACCAGGAACTGGCGAGGATGGCGCTGGAATTTGCAGGAACTGCAACGCGAGAGAGTCGTCGGTGCTGTTCATGCCTTGCCGGCACATCGGATGCTGCATGGTGTGTGAGCCTCTTCTGGGTTCTTGTCCCGTTTGCAGAATGGTGAAGAAAGCTAGCGAGGCGGTACTGTTCTTCTAGGATTTCTTTCTTTCTCTTCTGGGTTATCATTCGTTAGTTCATTTTCATTTTTTTATCTTATGTTTTGGTGAATTCCAAAGAGCTAGGGTTAGATTATGGGAGGCTCTTGCTTTTACATTTGTGAAGATGATGGTGGAGGAGCCAGAGCCTTCTTGAGATGGATGATGCAAAAGGATCGTTTTCTGTGTTGGACAAACTAAAATTTTTTTATTCTTTTCAAACGAGTCTCTCTTTGCTTAGGTAATTCCAAGGCAATGTCTTTTTCCTTGGAATATGTATGTGTGAATTTGGAGTAAGCATCTTGTCATCTAACTCTAATAGACTTTGGCTGAATTGATTTGACAGTATAAAAATATTACGGCACCGACAGATTATTGAAAATTCAGTAGTTGTTTCTTGACGTTGCCTCTTTTGACGCTTAAAGGAAAGGCTACATGGTGAAGGTGATTGTTTGCGGTCTCTTGTGTTAGTAGAGTTCAAGTCGAGTTGGTGTTTGTGTTATTTGATCCATATTTTGTTTTTCGTGCAATCAGATCACTGAACTTTCTCAATTTATGCGATGTGAGTCCTTTTTTTAACAGCAATCAAATTGCTGATGTGAAACCGCTGACATGCGAATAATGGACACAAAAAGGCACTATCGATGCCACATCATCGATTGCAAAAATGTCAAAACAAAAATTATACCACGCAACAACTCTCGCGTGCTTGCGGCATGCGTGCGCACGGTAGGGTGACTTGCGAGGTTTAGCATGGGTTACTATTCCCTTGACCATTGCTAAAGTTCAAATTAGAGAGTGTGGTGAAGCTCAGGGTTTGGCGAGGGTTGCCATTCTTACAACTCTCACGAAAATCTAATTATAGAGAGATAGACGGTGCTCGAGGGTGGGCTAGGGTAGTCATTCCTATAACCCACACCAAATTTATATGGAAGAGTGAGAGCGAGAGAGAGAGAGAGAGAGAGGTGCGCGGCCAAACCAGCAAAAGGGGAAAGGGGGTTGGCACCACTAGGCTAGAGCATAGGCTGGAGTAGCAATGTCGCAAGGCTCGTATAGAGGTGGGTTTCTTACCAAGTCCCCAGTGGAGTCGCCAAGCGGTCGCGACAACGACAAAGCAGCAATGTGGCCGAAATCTTGGATCGGATGTCCAAGTAAGTCCATTAGCCCAAATCCGTGGTCACCAACCTTGGGCGAATCTCGTGGTGGCAATGATCTATGCAAGCCTCCTTCATTGATAAAGGGAGGGGGGAATGGTGATGGTGGCTCGCCATGAGCACGATGGTAGTGGCAGAGGTCTTGACGTGTGCGAGAGAGAAAGAGAATTCATGATTCGTGTATTTTTTTAAGGTGAAATCTATAAAAATAGAGGCAAATTTAGTCATACTGAGAATTCTTATCCTTAAGTTAATAACTTGATTTGGGGAAGTTTCAATGACTTCAATTCGAAGATGGGGATACCAGATGTATTTGTTTGGCAATACACAAAATCACAAGAATCCGAAAAGTCATCAGGCAATCCCTATGAGATATTTTCGTGACGCATATGCGCAGCACTCAAATATTCTTAGGTAACCCCATCATAGGCTTTACAATCGTGTTAGAAAGATGCATCCAACTTGGTCATGTACAGCGACATCAACACTCAAATGTCCAATGTTCGAAAAGATCACCCTAGAAAGCCGCGAATACCGGTGGTGGTGTTCGGGAGAATAAGGATCACAGTCCCTTTGTGGGGAATGTGCTCCACCAGCTGATCCTGATTTTTTCGAAGGATATCGCATGCAACGAAAGGAAAATGAGTACCGAAATTGGACTTTTCTTTCCATGCATTATGCTTCTTACTATCATTCCAAAGAGCGCGTGCGGGAAGGGAATGAAATGGAATAGAATGGAATGGAAATGGACCCGCCCTAAGGGCGAATCATTGAATCCAAGACCCTAACGAGGAGCCGCACATGTGAAAGCTCTCTCAATGGGATGGAATTATTCGGAAAAAAAGAAAACGCATTACAACAAGCTCCGGGCATGCAAAAGCTCAATGATTTTCGGCCGTTGTATCATGTGGGATGCACGTCATCTAGACCATCGAGATCCACCGGGCTCATGCGTGCTTGGTTCGTGCTACTGTGGCTCGATCAGTAATGGAAATTTAAGGATAATCAAGTCATGCGAGATAGTCGAGTCGAATTTTCTTCAAAGGATATGTCACATTTTGGTAGGTTTCTGAGAGAATATCTACTCATTTTAGGGTTTGAATTTTTGTAGTCAGCCGCCATTTTATGAGCAAGAAGCACCCAATCAATTTCGTAATTTAGACCACGAAACCTGCACGCATGTTCACATGACGGCAGTGATAATGAGAAGATTATGTTGTATGAATTGAAAGAATAATTCTTCGTTGAATCGGCTCTCAGTCCATGGAAACAAGCTAGCTTTAATTATTATCAAGTCAATGGAAATCATGCACGTTTATTTTTATTATGATACTATTTTTTTGCCATTTTGAACAAGACAATCAACAACTTGACCCCCTCTCTCTAGAAGATGTAGAGATAGGATCCAATCAACATTTGAAGCAACGGGATGAAAACTATACTTATTGGTCCTAAAAGTTGAGTTAGAAATGTCGATCGGTTGGGCTAGTCTTAGACTGGTCAAAAGTTGGAAAAATTAGCCAATCAATCCTAAACTTATTGTAGAGATATCAATTCAGTCATAAGCTTTCTAATTTTGTTAATTTAGTTCCAAACCTTTGTGCGACATTCCAATATAATCCTTCAAACCAATTGTCATTGAATGTGGCTGACCTGGCTGTTTAGTCATTGCCGGCCGTCCTACGTGGCACACGACGTTCATAATTTTTGGCTAAAATTGGCTAAAAGGACAATATTGGAATTTCATGCAAAAGTTTAGGACTAAATTGGTAAAATTGAGAAATTTAAGACTGAATTGGCATCTGTACAATAAATTTATGACTAATTGAACAATTTCCCCAGAGTTTAATAAACCTATAACATAAATTTTTTTGATTTTGGGGTTGGAATAACGGATTATAATGACGCCTAATAACGATAAGGAACTTGTTCTCTAGGGGAAAATTCACTATTAGGGATAGGGTCACATGGTTTAATTTGATTAATTAGCATATAATCAGATTCTTGATGTGTATTTGTCACCTTTCGGTGTATGTTTGTGAGCCCAACATGCGTAAAATTGGTATTGTGACCTAATAATTTTATGTTTTTGTTGCAATTGAATGCACATTCCGTTTGACACAAGTAGCAATCTAACGTAGTTTTTAAGTTTTGATCGACTTTTATCATGATGGAAAGTGGCTAAGATCTATAAACGAGAAGGTGCATCTCGTGAAATGTAAAACTTATGAGAATTAGGGTTAGTGTGTTTAATGAAAAATCATTTTTTCAAATTAGACTTTCCAGCATTTGTATGACATAAAACTACTCAGACCGACGGAAAGCGTTTTCCATGCCTAAAAACAATTAAGTTTTGATTGTGGAAAATGATTTTCTTTTCTAACGAGAAGAAAATTATTTTCCCCAATTTCTTGCTTTCGCGTAGGTCCCTTTAATATCTATTTCATATCTCTCATTAATTTTTTCTTTTTCTTTTATAATAATTCTTATATGTTTTTTTCATAAATCTTTTCAAATGTTCTTCTACATTCCCAAAGAAACGCAATATTTATATTTTACAAATTCGATTCATAATTTCGTTCTTAATTTCTTTGTAATACATGTTATTTTGATGGATTACAGAATAAACACAAAAGATGTTGATTCCAATTTGTTAGTTATCACATCTCATTTGACACAATATAGGCTGCGTTTAGTGTAATATTATCAAATACCATAAAATCAATTTTTCAACTTATTTTCAACACTCTCACCTGAAAAAAAAATTTCAACACAAATAAACACCAAAAAAAGTTTACTTTCTTTGAAATTGAATTTCCTAAAATATTTTCCCATGACAAGAAATTTACAATGAAATAAACAACCCTTTAGAATGCAATTGATATTGAAGATTGATTGATATTCATAACAAAAAGAGTATAGGACAAAAGGTTGCAACCTTTTGGATTGAAGGTAATTTTGGGAATAAAAAAGGTTAAAAAAAGGGGGGAAATGACACAAATAGTCCCGTACTTTGGTCAAATATGCATTGTTATCCCTGAACTTTTAATTTGTTCAATGTAGTCTCTGAACTTTGGTCAAATGTGCAATATTGTCCCTGAACTTTTAATTTGTTTAATGTGATACTTGAACCTTGGTCTAATAAACATTGTAGTCCTTGAACTTTAAAAATTTTCATATCGTCTAATGATTATATTCATTTACCAATTCAAAGACTATATTGAAAAAATTAAAGGACTAGGGATGGAATTGCACATTGAACCAAATTTTAGGGACTACATTGTACAGATTAAAAGTTTAGGGACGACATTGCACATTAAACTATAATTTAGAAACTATTTGTGCTATTACCCCAAAACAATAGGAGGAACTCCGAATTTCCTTATATTTTTTTTAAGTATCTATAATTCCTATTTATAATTATGTACTCACCAAATAAATGATAAAATGTATATCTATTGGTCTTCTATTTCAAATAAACCTAAAATAAAGAATATGTTTATTTTTCAACTATATTTTGGGAAAAATGAAAGCAAATTTTTTTTTTTTGTAATAGAGGATTGGATGGTATACAAGCCAGCTTTGGTGCACCCAATCTGGTTCACCTCCTCGGACAATTTTAAGTTCACATCACCTCACGTCGGTCTGATGCATGTAGAATTTTACTCTCGCAATGCTCCCGACAAGGTTTGAACCTAAGACTTAAAGAAGCAAACTCTCTTGTCATTTGTACTGATACTTTATTGGTAATAGGTCTACTTTTGGTCGTATCATTATTAAATTTTCAATAAGACTTACTTATGCTAGCAATTGCATCGATTGTCCGAAAATAATTAAACTAAGTTATGAAGTACGTAATTAACCATTGAGTTCATTTTATTCATATATGAATTTGAAAGTTGATGGAGGAAAATAGTTGATATGCTCCCTTGAAATCAATGTAAAGAATAGTGAATGGAATTCTGTGGTGATGCGACATGCGTCTTATTTAATCGAAAACTTTCTATGTCCCCACTTCTCTAATTTCATGTTAAATTTCAGTCTAAATTCTCTACAGTAAATAACAGAATTACAGATAGTTTTCATAATCCGGTTCAATATCAACTTTCCAGTTAACATTAATCTGTTAATTAACAAGCAAAACTTGTTAATCGTGCATTACCTCTATCATTATTATTATTAGCAAAAGCAAAATCACGGAAAACATGAGGAAAACCCTCGAGTTGATTGTGGAGGGCCAATTTTATTGAATACCTCATCCTATTTCGAGGAATCAAATGGCCTAAAAAACATATGCCAACCCAAATAGCACCCCCAAAGACTCCATTTGCCTTCTGGGTTGCTACATGGCCCAAAACCTGCAAGGGTTCCAAGTTTCTCGAAAAATAAATAATTCGGACAAGATTTTCATAAAAATAATCGCTTGTATTACTTGCAAAAAAAAGAACAAATAGTATTTTATTGTCCACGAAAATGTTTAGACATAAATTGTTGTCGATAATGAAAACAATTTTGCACCGATTAATTATTTCAAAATATACAAGCGATCATTTTTAGGAAAGTGTTCTCCAAATCATTTATTTTTCGCAATATAAACGGAGAAACTCTGCTTTGGCGTAAACCACTTTAGACTCCATTACCTTCAGAGTAGTTTTTCTAAGAGGATGCATCTCCCATATATTTCACGTTGTTCCTGATAACTCTCAGCTTTGTTATCAGTGCATGAACTCCTCATCCTGCAATGTACAGATCATATCTATGTGAGATCGTGGATATGCTGTTTTCTGTTGAGTTTTGCGATCGTGCCGGCTTTGTAGCTGTATCGCATCTATGAATATCCTTGCTTTCAACGAGATTATTATTGATTTCGTTCAGTCACGCGCATCGCGCGGGTCAACACCTAGTAAGCTTCTTCACGATGACTTTACAGAACAAGAGATGGTGCAATTGAGACTACAGGTCCAACTGTATGGAGCCTAAAACATGTATCAAGCACTTCTGAGTTATGTGTAGGAGTGGAAGTCATGGACTTTATCCTCTGGTAGATCGCTTAATTTGGTCGGTATTAACTCTTCCAGTATCAGTACCAACAACTGAGCGTTCGTTTTCATTTTCCAACGATTGAACGTTGTTATAAATAGGATTAGAATCGAGGTGAGAGATGATTATCCAGCAGATTGCCCGATTACTTACATTGAGAGGAGAGTCTTGTTAAGTTCGATACATGCTCAATTCTTAACGAATTCTACCACACAAAAGAGGGTCGCGCACGGACTTCGGTGATTAGGCACAAAAGTATCCGTTATTTCTTATCGATTCTTGTTTAATTCTAATGAATTTTCTTGATTCTCTTTACATTGTAGTTATTTCATCAACAACTTCGTTATGATGGATGATACTTTGCTTGGCCTGCCAAATACTAAACTTCTGGATCCATCCTGCCGGCAGTGCTCGTAGAGTAAGACCGGGCAGCGATCATGCCCAAGCAATTTGATCGAACCCGTGCTCCGAAAGCTACTCTTGATTTCCTCCATGTCAGGTATGTATTCAGTTTCAGCAGAAGAAGGCTGGGAGAAATGAGTAACAAAAAAGGAAACACCAGCAAGTTTTCTATCTTGTCATTTAGTAGTTATATTAGTGAATTGCAGAATTGCCCGACCTCGGATCGTGTCAGCTATGTAATTGTAGCACGTTAAGAACCAGTATTTTAGGTCTAACTTGACATATTTTAAGGACTGTGACCAATGTTGCGCCATTGATCTATCATGGGTTTTTCCTAGGGCGAACTAGGCAAGTAGATTGTGAGCAAGACATATACACACCAAACTAGCAGAAGCAATGCCCAGAACCAAGATAGAAACAAGTTCATCAAATAACCAAGGTCAAAGAATTCATAAACTAGGACTAGGAGAAAACTCCCGAGGAAAACTACCCACATTCCGACCATGAAAGAAAACCGAGTATAATCCAGAGTGACTAGGAGAGAACTCTAGCTATTGACTCTATTGACAAGCGAGATGTACTTGAGCAAGAAGCAACAGACCTCGCACAGGGCAATCGCGCCGCTCAGGTTGATATCGAGGCCGGTCTTCTCTTCCTCCAGGGCCCGGCGCTTGCAGTCGGACTCATCTAGCTGCTTCCTCAGCTCCTCCGTCTCACCCCCAAGCCGAGCATTCTCCTCCAGGGCCTGGCGCTTGCACTCTGACTCCTCGAGCTGCTTTCTCACCTCCTCCACCTCGGCCTCGAGCCAAGCATTCTCCTCCTGGAGGAGGCCCTTGCTCTCACTGTACTCGAGGCAGCACTCCGTCTCAGCCCCAAGCCGAGCATACTCCTCCAGGGCCTGGCGATTGCACTCGTACTCCTCGAGCTGCTTTCTCAACTCCTCCACCTTCGCCTCGAGCCAAGCATTCTCCTCCTGGAGGAGGCCCTTGCTCTCGCTGTGCTCGAGGCAGCACTCCGTCTCGGCCCCAAGCCGAGCATTCTCCTCCAGGGCCTGGCACTTGCACTTGGACTCCTCGAGCTGCTTTCTCAACTCCTCCACCTCCGCCTCTAGCCAAGCATTCTCCTCCTGGAGGAGGCCCTTGCTCTCGCTGTACTCGAGGCAGCACTCCTTGTAGTACTCCGCACACGAGGCCTCGTTTCGTTTCTTCCCGGCCAAGTTGAAAGCGTTGTGGCAGAGAGCTTTGAAGCTATAGCGAAGCAGCTCCCATTCTTCCCGGTCAGTGTCATAGCGGGCAGTCAGGTCCTCGAGCTTCGAGGCAAGTTGGAGATTCTCCGTGGTCAGCTGGTGGATGTCCTCGCTGTATCCACCCGCGAGCTGTTGGTACATATTGACTGCGCCCACGGCCTTGTCCAGCTCCTCCAGTAGATACTCCCTTTCGTGTGCCCAAGGGCTCTCGTAGTATCCTCCTCCCGGGCTGTAGGAGTCTTCTTCGCCCCTAATTTCTAAGTACTCGCGAGACAACCCAACCGTAGGTGTTGGCGGCGGTGCCCGTATATGCCTCGGTTTCTTCGAAGGACGCGATTCGTCTTGCGCGCCGCTCTCTTGTGGCCGCATGAAGGGCGGTTCCCCGGGGCTTCCCCTTCCACTCATTGCTTGTGAAGTGTCCAGCACCTCCTGATCATTGGCTTCACAGCGAGCAGCCGAATTAGCAGTCTGCTCCAACTTATCAACATGTCCCTTAGCAGTCTCTGCCAACTTATCAACCTGTCCCTCGGAAGTCTTCTCTTTGAGGCCCACGGCTTCCGCTGGCTTCGGGTTCCGCTTGGCTTTGGTGGTCTTTTTCTTTACAGGCTTAGCGACGCTGTTTCCTTCTTCACTCTTCTCGGTTTCCCAATCAACTATTCTTGCCCAAACCTTTTCTTCCCGAAACAATCAAAGGTAAAGGTTTAAGCCAAATCGAAACAGCAGACTACGACTTTTGGACAATAAACGATTAACAAATCTTAGGATTCAAAAGCTTTAATAATCGAAATACGTAAGTTACGAAAACCATTAACACGAATTGGCTATACACCTTTCTTTCGAGTATAGGATCTTGAACGCTCTTTTTGGTGTTAGGGTTTCAATCTTTTACAATATGTAAGGCAACATCGTCCATACGAGATGACCTAGCGCTATAACATATTAGATGTCCTTAATCACGAGCGACACATGACATTTCTTGATTCACGATGAGTTCAAACATGCACTCCTACTTTCGTGATGAGTTCGATTCACATCGATCAATTATATTGAAGAGAGAGAGAGAGCTCACTTTAGCGACCTCTCCAGACTGCTTGGCCCACCACGCCAGCAATAGGCGAATCCCGCTCGAAACCTCGAAAAGGAGGAAGGACGTTGCGGCGAGACGTGTCGGCCGCCCGAATACCAAGTAGGCCTCGAGAAGGATCGCTGCGACGTGCTCCGCGGTGATGAGAATCCACGAATCGCCCTTCAATTCCTACACCCAAATAATCACAAACCAAGCACACAGTCACGTTAGCAACACAGAACCATCGATCGCAAGCCGATCAGTAACACGCGAGAGCCCTAGAACTGCACAATGTATTAAGCTCGACGCATTCGTTGCGCTCACCGGACAATCCCATTGGACGACCGAGCGCACGAAAGACAAGGCCTGGAAGGCGAGCGAGAGCATGAAGCCCGGGAACCAAGACGCCGGGGATACCGCCGCTGACGTGTAGGCGCAGAAGAACACCACCCGCTCCAACCAGAAGATAATTCGGGATCCTAGCTCCAGACTTGAAGCCATGGTTGGAGCCATGGCTGATCAAGTGTGCAAGGAGCTAGGGTTTAAGCCTTAAGGTATGTTGAAGAGGAAGGCTTATATACATGAGTGTGCGCGTGTTGAGCGCGGGCATATCGAATGCGGAATATGTTTGGATTACTTTGGGAAGTAAGAGAGATTGCACTTGGATTACGATGGACTCTAGCTAGCATCGATATCCTTCGATGATCGATATTGAATCCTTGCGGATATCATCACTTTCCGCTTATATTTCTGTTTGTTTAGGCTTTGGAATTAGTTGAAATCAAAAGGGGGGAAATTGGAGCGAGGGAGAGGGAGAGAGAGAGAGGAGTAATTTTGGAGAATCCTACGTGTGAAAATTCTTGATCGGTCCTGAACCTTCCGTATTTAGATGAGATGGCCATACAGAAGTTTCAATGGAGATAGAGAGAGAGAGAGAAAGTGGGACCCATATGACACGCGGCGCCACGTGTCGTGCATTGAATGGTCCGGCCCCTCCCTTGGTGACGTGGAGGGGCCGGCCCTACTCATTATTTTCTCTCAAATGGGACCCACCCAATTTTTAGGATTCCTTTGACTTCTTTATTTTTTTTGTTGGGATATTTTTAGATATGATCACGGATATGGAGAAAAAATCCTATAAGTTCAAAAGTTCGGACTAGCCCCATCGAATTGGTCTCGATTTTTTTGGCACGAGATTAGGTCAGGACAGGGGGTATGTTTTTTTATTTGCATTTCGAATCGGTACGGTACCTGAGATGCCTACGCTTAAATAAATTCAGACCTACCCAAAACGATTCAAAAGACAAAGTTTATATTTAAAAATAAGGAGATAAAGATTTAAAAATAAATCTTGTTTCATTTGTGGACCTCCATTAGCCATAAAGAATTAATAATCGAACAATAAGGAGTCATATAATAGTGTGGTATTAAGTATGGTCCAAGTCACTTTTTCTTTATTTAGGACCCAAGCACATAGCGATCCTAACTTGGTTTATATTGATTGGAATAAAAACTCTCTTCAAGTCTTGTTGGCTTCGCCTGTTTGTACCCCCGAGTGGTCCGGCATCCAATTCCAACCGCCACACATTTAAAGGATTCACTTGAAAGTCAACTATGAAAACATCAAATATTATTCATTTGTTTCACGAAAAATCAACAATTGAAGAATGTTTTTCTTAATATTCTATCGTTCATATGCTCAAATAAAAGAGTTAAACATCAGGAGAATTTTTTTTTTCCAATTGCTCATCTTTCGAGATACAATGAAAGAACATAAAAGATTTTCTCTTCTGCATCTCTCACTATTTTGATCGTTTCTCTTCATCTGCCACAAAAACTCAATCCATTGAATTTAGTTTTGACATGCCAAAAATAAAATTTGCCTTATAATATATTAAAACTAAATCACCAGAATATAAATTCCATCGTGGCAACGTATGAAACCGACCCAATGAATTTGGTTTAGATATTAATATGATCAGTTTCTAGTGTTCCCACATACCTATTTAATTCCGCATGAATTTTTCATTAACTCGAGAAGATACGTCCTTTGAAAATAAATTATTATGATAAAGTTGTCATCTCTAAACCTATTATATCCATGACAAGATGGAATTCTTACATGTTGACAATTTTAAAATCTTCAAAGCTTGATAAAATTATAAAACTGTACGAAATTTATATAAAAAAGTATGAGATCTCAAGTAAAAATTTGTTGGACATGACCTTTCAATCTTTGTGTGATGGTTGAATTGAATTGTCATATCAGGTACCAATCATGCCAAATTGGCTTTAAGGACTAAATTAGTTCTATTCAAGGAGCATGACCAAGTGACCCAAAAATAAAATTTAAAAAGCTAAATTTAATATTGATGGACGGTACATGGATTTTTTTTTATCAGAAAAGAAAGAAAGCAAAAGGCAGTACGGTATGCATATGTGAAACATCAATGATGAGAAAGTAATTCATAAATCTAGTACATAAAAAAAAATTGAATATCGATCTCGAATTCAATGGGACCCACGGTCCATATTTAGTTTGGTATATGAACTACCACCTATTACAATAATTTCTCATAAATGACTCTTACATTTGGCAACCACACAGTTTCTAATATGGTCTCCACATCCTTTGGACTCCTCTTTAGGACCAGGCGGTGCGACTCAACAGAATCAATGTTCAAATGCCAAGCATGTATTATAGATTTTTAGAAGTTAAAGATCCGTATATTTTGCGGAAAATAAATTATTTGAAAAATATTTTTTTAAAAAATGATTTCTTATATCTCTTAGAAAAATAAATAAATAAAAATTGTTTACGTCCTCCTAAAAAGGTATGTAAATGATGATAAGCTTTTTTAAGTCAACTAGGGTTAAAAAGATAATTATATGACGATAAAGCAAAGAAAAAAAGGAGCTTAAGGAATTCAAACAAAATGGGGGTGGCCGAGAGGCAAGGACAAGTGCCACAAGTGCCGGCCAAGGTTGCCGGCACCACCACCTGCGAACCTCCCACGGGGCAATCACACGTGAGTGGGTGGCTAAGTAGCACCAATACTAACACGATACGCTGACGCGTTATTTCTCAAAATATAAAGAATTCTGACACGTTAGGAGACGTTATATATTAAATGTATATTTTTATATATACATGATAGATTATCATTTTCATGATTATTTCAATCAAATTAATTTGATTCAAATCCATAAATAACTAAATAATAAAAAAAGAGCCTAGTTAGAATTTACATTAAAAACATTAATCCACCATTTGCTAATATCATCCATTGTTTCGAATTGACAAATTCAACTGCATTCCATTTTCATAATCCATAAAACTTGGCGAGAGAAGAAAAAAGCAATCCACGTTCCACCATTAAACTTAAATTTAACAATAAGTAAAAAAAAAATCCACATCTCACCATTAAATTTAACCCTAATTTATTGAAAATGTTTAAAATTGACCTCGTGAGTGTCAGGATGCTAGACTCGCGTATCACTGGCGTGTCCGAAACGCTGACCACGTGTCGGATGTCTGATACATGTTGACCACGTGTCGATTGTAGGGAAAATTATCCAAAAAGTCCTAAACCTATTGCATTTTTACCAATTCAGTCCTAAACCTTTTCAATTCTTGCTAATTGAGTCCATCCGGCCAATTTTGACCGGCCGACGCTGATGTGGCCGCCGGGTGTCTAGCCAATGCTGATGTGGCAATTTTTAGATATTTTTTTCGAATTTTAATTTTTTTCTTTTTATTCTTTTCTACCCTTCTTCCCTCTTGTCAGCCTCTTGCAAAGCTCGCTCACCGTTGCTAGGCTGACCTCGCCCAGCCAAGGAGAGGCCGACCTCGCCATCGCTGGGCAAGGTTGCCCAGGTAGCGGCGGGTGAGGTTCACCCTCGCCAGTGGCCGGCGGGGGCGAGCTTCACCAGAGGCCAGCGAGGTCCGTGCCTCTTTAGCCGATTCGGCGACCGGCCAAAGGCAAGAAGGGCAAAAGAAAAGAAAAGAAAAGAAAAACAAGAAAAATATATGAAAAAATTGCTACATCAGCGTTGGCCGGTGGTCACGTCAGCGCCGGTCGGTCAAAATTGGCCGGATGGACTCAATTGGCAAGAAGTGAAAATGTTTAGGACTGAATTGACAAACTTAAAAGGTTTAGGACTAAATTGATAAAAGTGCAATAAATTTAAAACTTTTTAGATAATTTTCCCGTCAATCGCATGCTCAACACCTACACGAAGTTCTAGTGAGAGTGCCCATGCTTCCCAAGTAGGTGCGGGGTGGCCAAGACTTTATAGTAATTCAAACAAAAACGAGGGGGTGGCCGAGAGGTGAGGACAACGGGCGCCACAAGCGCCGGCCGAGGTCGCCGGCAACACCACCTGCTAACCTCCCGCGGGGGGCAAACCGCACGCGCGAGTGCGTCGGTCGTTTCTTTTTTGGCGGGTCCACAAGGGGGAAACACACGGACAAAGACCCCTCACACCAATTTCTACCCATGAATTAAGGGTGGTTTAGGGTTTAATACGAGCACGTGCGACATCACTTCCCCCACGCACCCCCGTGCGCCTTAGCCTTTGCTGCCCTCCGTTAAGAAACAAGAAAAGAGCTTGTCTTTCTTCTGTGTGGGATGGAGCGACATCTCTTTCGTCTGCTTTGCTTTCTGGGTCAGGGCATTTCTGCTTCGGATCACCATAATTGCAAGCGCAAAACGTGTTTAATCTCGATTTCGATGCGCTAACTCGAGCGTTTATTGTGTTCCCATGAGCTCTCAGTGACCTGAACGTAAGTTTTGTTCACCTGTTGACTCGATCTCTGTTGTTACAATGACATATACAAATCACACCCACGTCCTCACTGCCCATGATCCTATCGTGGGTTAGCTTAGCTTAAGCTTATTAGTATCGCAACATCCGTCTCTATCTGTTACTACTACTGTCTCTGTTTCCGTCACACCAGTTCGTCTAACAAGCTGCCGATGCGACCGCTTTTGATCTGGGACTGCAGGGACGCGACGGACTCCTCCAATTTGGAAGATTCCAGCTCGATCTGACATAGGCGATCTTGGGTCTTGGCCACTCGCGCCTTTGCATCCGCGACCGCCTGTTCTTTCTCCGCCAGATCTTCCAGATGACGTTCTAGTTTTTTCTTTGTAGTCTCGAAGACGCGATCGCATTTGGCCTTCTCTACCTTGATGGCGTCGCACTGAGTGATGAGCTCCCCGGATTTTGAAAGCCTTTCGAGCACTTGGCGCAACCAATCGACCTTAATTTGCGAGGATTCCAAGTCCTTTAGAACCGCTGACATTTCTCGGAGTTTAGACTCCGTTAGCTGAGTGGTTGAGGAGGACCGGAGATCGTGGACCACGAGGCAGACGCACTCGAGGCAATAAGAACGCATGGCGATCGATTCCATGCGACAGCTCTCAGCTATATCCCCATACTTGTCAAAAATGGCCCGTAAAGTAGAGGAGACACTTTCTTTAACATAGTACTTCCCGACGGTAACTCTGGAATCCAATGCAACTGAGTGGACCTCCTCCTCACGGCTCTCTTCAGACGGACGGTCCGGATCAGAAATGCTGGAGCTCAGAGAATGGTCATGCACTCCTCTATGTTGAGTGCCTTCTTCCGCACCATTGACGGCAATGGATGAGACTACCTCAGGGGGCATGTGATGCTGATTGCTTTCCGTCTCTTTTGGTGGTTTCCACGATGTAATCTCAGTAACACCTGAACTCGAAGCTTTAACGTGACGATCTGGCTGTTGACAAAGAAGTCGGGGTGGGAGAGTGAGAAAACATAAATGCTAACAACACAAGGATGTGCATGACAAAAGAAAGGGGGGCAACGGAATGGAAAGACGAGTCCCAACGAATTCAATTAACACTGGAGTGAGTTTCAGTTCATAAAGAAGTGGGACCTGCCATAAATCAAGACGTGGCCGTATGTATCCTATTGCATACGTTATTCCATGTGCACATATACGCTATAATCATTCAGAGAGAGAGAGAGAGAGAGAGACTACTCACAGAGAGACCAAGAGCTGGTGTGGCATGTCCTGAAGTTGTAGTCAAACGAGAGGTCCCAAGTTGCCCCCTGTTGAATGAGAAGTCCTCGACATGAATCTCTCCGGAGAAAGGCACAGATGACGACACAGGATTTGTGCTCTCCAGTTCGCTTTTTGGAGAAGTTAAGTTTGCAGTAGATGACCGATCAGTGGCTACAGGGACGGTATGGACAGTTGATTTCTCATGCGCATTTGCTGGCTTGTTGTTAAAACTCGACCCCCTAGCCGTTTTCCTTCTTGAATTCTGGAAACCATCAGTTCCGACATTGTATCCTGCAACGGATAAGGGCAAAATCTTTCGGTCAATCAAACACTTGGATGTGCTGTAGTTGCAGCAGTTCCTAGACCGGCCAACATGGTGGAACTTATCATACGAGTTTAATGAAGGCTGTTTCACCGTCCTTTGATGATGACTAACGTGCAATGCACTGTCTAGATATTTATCGAGAGCATCAAATGCAAAACAAAAGATTAGCGAGTTCAACATGGCAAGTCGAAGGCGACTTCAATTCCCATTATCCATTTCCTCTACAACCAAGTGACAAACCAGAAGCCAATCAGCATAGTAAATTTACTCCCGAACTTTGAATAAAAGATACGTACATGAATAACGCTGAGCTTCAAAATAACTCAACATGACTGCAGGCCAAAATTCTATCAGTCTGATAACTAAATATTCTACTTTTTTCACCACTTGAAACAGAGGAAATTTTCCAATAGTTTTTCAAGATATCCTAGCTAAGATCACTCACGAGTCACAACATCCTTTTCAGCAGAAATTCCATTCATCAAACCCTTCACTTGTGAAATAGTTGACCTGAAAGGTCATTGGTCTCTGACCAAAGAAAAGATCCACCCGCCTCCCCTTATTCCCTCTGTTTTGTGGCAGGATGGGCAATGAAAGAACCATGTCTTTGCATCTTTCGAGTACAATACATACTACTAATAGAATAAATCTGCGACGACAATTGAGAATCAAAAGAGGACCTATGGTTTAAGAAAGCACCTGTAAAACTTTTGCTCTTGCGGGCCTTTGATGTGGCAATCTTTATGTAGCAATCTTCCACGCATCTGTGGAAAGGATTCGACGCGTTTACGCAATCTGGGTGAACTCTTTCCCTCTCAGCCATCTATTCGCAGTCGGCACTTTTCCGCTGCACATACGCAAACACTTGATCAACACACACAGTGTATGCACGGGAACGAAAAGAAACCGATGTGCCCTCAACAGCAGCATCTCGGAATTCACAGTTCGCACAACAATTCCTTTCGGCGACTGGCGAAAAAAGAGAAGAAAAGGAACGGCTTTCAGGACACGCAGGCCCTGGGTTTTAGTATGACCTTAAAATGCTTCCAAAATCAACTAATCAAGAAAAAGGAGGGGCATCCCTAGCTAAATGAATCATCAATCCATAGGCGTAAAAGTTCGACATTTCCTTTCAGAAGCTGCAAGAATTGAGCTCCATGCGCATCTATGATCGAAAGCCTTGTATCAAGGACTCTCTCTCTCTCTCTCTCTCTCTCTCTCTCTCTCTCTCTCTCTCTCTCTCTCTCTAAATTGGCGTATAACTTTCCCAGAATTTGAGGTAAAAACCGTTCCTTCGGTGCACAAGAATACAAAACAGTCCTTTGAAAAAGCTTTCGATGCTCTCTGTCATGTCCCGAAACGTTAGGCATCCAGAGAGAAGATCCAGAGTGTGGATGGTGATGGTACGAACCGAAATTCCCAATGAAACCGACGCAACCACTCCCTCCGAAACGCCGACCCCGCACTGTTCTGTTCACGAACTTCAAGAACCACGGAAAAGAACCAAGAACAGGAGCACCAGACAAGACGCCGCAAAACCACGAAATACCCAAAAGAAGGAAACAACACCAATCGAAGATAAGCATCGAAGTAACGCAAAAATAGGAGCAGAGACGGCGTCCGAAGAACGAAAAACCTTATCGAGAAGAAGAGAAGAGGAAAAGCGCTAGAACGAGAAGAACTCCGAGTCCAACTTTCTGTCCTTCCGGGGGGGTGTTCAAGAACAAGCCTTCGTTTTTCTTTCTCTGGGCGTCTGAATTCCACCCGTCGCTGTCGCGGGCTTCACGGTTTGACCGACGACGCCCGGCGACGTATGAAAGGATGCCGGGTCGTCAAACCCATCACGTAAACGCGCAGAATTCCCCCTGACCACGAGGGAAAGGTCGAACACCACGGGTTTCTGCGTTTCCCACAAGAACAAGAACAAGAACAGGAGATCTTCTTCTGTCTCTCTGTCTCTATCTATGGAAGTAGGTTCGGCCACTCTCGCCCTTGGAAGTGGGGGGCGGGACCATCTGCCAACCGTGCCACAGGAGGACGATGATGGGGTAGTTTAGAGGTCGGCAGTGGACACGCGGTACCGCGATGGACGCTCTGTGGGTGGTGGGATGGTGGGACGTTCCTTCATAAATACATGACCATCCGACGAGAATGCGTCCGTGTGGGCGGAGGAGTCCTCCTCCACTACGTGGGGATCTCGGCCTCAGAAAATATATCGTCCAAAAGAAAAAAATGGAAAATGTGTCCATAGAAAAAATCATAAAGTAAGTCTACGGCCGTGACAAATTTACTCTCCTCCAGTTTCCGTTAAATTTTACCGTCAAATTGCTGAGTTGGATGACACGTGACAGTTGACGAGTATACCAGTTTAAAGTTTGACTCATTATTTTGTCATAAATTTATCAGTTTGTGATTTTTTGTAGCATTAATCCAATTTAACGAAGGGTAAATTTGTCACAAGTGTACCAATTTGAAGTTTTTGGTGGTAAAAATATTAGCTTGGGGTAAATTTATCACAGGTGTACTAGTTTGGGATTTTTCGTGATCAAAAAATTAGTTTGGGATAAATTTGTCACAGATATATCAGTTTAGGGTTTTTCGTGGTATTAACCTATTTCTTATTATGTTGCCAAAAATCATACATTATGTATATTATGATACCAATACCCCAATTTTTTTAATCGCTAAAATCTCCAAGCTTATGGTAATGTGTGAAAAGGAATATAAAATTTTTGTCACATCAGTATAAATTTGGATATTTATGACATTAAAAGAAATTTTGGGCATTGTTGGGAAGAATTTAGGATTTTTGTTTTGTTGTAGACAAATGGTGTTTTTGTCACACCGGTATAGATTTGAGTGTTTTGGTGATGCGAAAATAAAGTTTGGGTTATTGCTATCACAACGAGTACATTTTAGGATTTATTGCGGTATCTTTTTTAAATAAAATTTTATTTTTTGGGGGAAGGGTGGAAATATGATGATTACCCAACGGAAAAACTTTAAAATGCGCACTCCTTAGTCCTCACAAAAATATTTTGAAACATAGCATCAGCGGTAAACACACGGTACGAAAATGAAGGATGTTTGGATGATATTCTCGATCATAGTAAATTTAGTGGGGGCGGTAAGTGATAACCAGAAAATACTGGGGTCAAACAAATATTTATATGAATATTGAGGAAGTTCTCTGAAAATTTCGGTGACATTACCCCCTCCATCCCTCCAAAGAAGGTTTCGTCGCAAGACAAATATTTCAAGGGAAATTATCCAATCAATTTTGGACTTATTGTATGGATGCCAATTCGGTCTTTAACTTTCTAATTTTGCTAATTTAATCATAAGCCTTTACATGAAATTCCAATGCAGTCATTCCGGTTAATTTCTACATTAAAATACTGACGTGGCGGTTCAGTTATCGCCGGCTATCCTACGTGTCACACCCCCATATCAGCAATTTCCCCCCCAAAATTGGCCGGAAGGACAATATCGGAATTTCACGCAGAGGTTCGGAATTAAATTGGTAAAGTTGGAAAGTTTATGATTGAATTGGCATCCATATTATGTTTTCATGACTGATTGGACAACTTTTCCAATATTTCATGTGAGACTTTGAAATTCATTTTTCTTTTGAGTCTACTTCGTATCACGCCACGTGAACAACGTTGTTCACTTAGCTTTTAATATGAATTCCCCGTTTTGCACTGCATCGTCGGTCTTATCGATAGCAAACCATCAGATTTCATCATCAACTTCTGGCGATTGATGTCGATGGTACCGAATCGGGTAAACGGGTCCCAATATGCCATAAATTGAGGGGAAGAGGACGCAGTACCTCTCAGTCTTACTTCACGGTTTTAAATTCAATTAGGGTGGTAGGTGGTCTTAATATTAGTTATATGTGCTTCGCGGATCCTGTTTACATCAAAAAATGACCAACTTGTTGACATGGAAAATACATGATAGAGGCATGAATTACACGTCCCATCATCAACGATTGTAGAAAGTGATGTCCATTTAGTGCATCGATGATGGTTTAGTCGTGGTCGATGAGTGTTTGTACCAAAGATCATCAAGGGATACATGACAGAGGCATAAGGCAACGTGGAAGAAAATATTATCAAGTTGCCAACATAAAGGACAGTCACGTGTATATGTTTACACCCAAAGATGACCAATTTTTGGGTATTATCGACAAGATTGGGAAAACGAGCAGAAATTTCAGTTCTGCGCTAGCTCGGTAATATGGTTATAACTTCGTCGAGACAGATTAGATTGACCTAATTCCAAAGCCAAAAGAACGAAGACTCCTGGATTTACAATTTTTATGTTTTAAGTTTTCTCAGAAAATCACTGTAGAGTTTTCGACGTTAAAAGGAAGTCGACTGTCGTGACTGGTCAGGATGCGGAAATTTCAGTTCTGCGCTAGTTCGGGAAAATGGTCTTAACTCCATTGAAATAGATCAGATTGACCTGATTTCAAAGCCAAAAGAACAAAGACTCCTGGATCTACAACTTTTATGTTTTGAGTTTTCTCATAAAACCACTGTATATTTGTCGACATCAAAAGGAAGTCGACGGTTGTGACTGGTCAGGATGCGGAAATTTCAGTTCTGCGCTAGTTTGGGAAAATGGCCATAACTTCGTCGAGACAGATCGGATTGATCTGATTCCAAAGCCAAAAGAACGAAGACTCCTAGATCTACAACTTTTATGTTTTGAGTTTTCTCATAAAATCACTGTAGAGTTATCGACGGTCCTGACTGGTCAGGATGCAGAAATTGATAGACACCTCAATGAAGAATTGCCAATTTGAAGGAATCGACAAAAAGTGAAGTCGACAATCTCGAATATAACTATCGAAGAAGTAACTGTCAACATAGTGGGGTCGAAGCAACCGTCAAAGTAGTGGAGTCGAATAAACCGTCAAGGTAATGGACTCAACGCAACTGTTGAAAACCACTAAGGAGCATATATGTATATTTTGAGGGAACAGTTACTTGGAAGCATGATCATGAGGTACTTATCACTTGTAGATAAGATCGTGGGACAGTTATCTTGAAAGCAGGATCATGGCATCACCTGAACATGAAGACAAGATTTTCGGAATGAAAGAGCATGGGCACAACCGTTGAAAACCGCTAAGGAGCAGTTACCACACAACCATTATAAATATCACCGGCCATCTACTGGAGACACCCCCCCCCCCCCCCCCCGACAAGTCAATTAACATGTTATCATTCAATTATCTTTACTTTCCGTACCGCACTTTACTTTTCCTTAGCTATAGCTTTTCGATTCGCGTCGTCGATTAAATTCCAACGTGTATCCTCTATCCCGAGTGTTGCATCATTGATTAAATTCCGACATTATATCTTTGTGTACGTGTGTGGCTATATTTTCAAGTTTTGTCGTCGATTAAATTCCGGCATGGTTTGTACATACAGTCCAGTTCGCAGTTCGAAGTAAAAGTTCGCAGTTTTTCCTTGTCTTCCTGGATATTTTCTATCTAGAGTCGCCACGGAACCTAGTCGTCTCTCATTAAAACCCGAAGAACGACGTTCGGTGAATTATATTTCGTCGCAGGAGCTTTTCCGGCAAAAGAGAGCCATTTGGTTTGATTGATTCTTGCTCGAGCCTAATGATGAAAATTTATCATGTCTGGTTCCTTCAGAGGATGGATATGTAAGAATTTATTGATCCCAATGACAAAAAAAACCTGACTTAAACGATCCTGTATTAAGAGCTAATTTGGCTAAAGGGATGGGTCATAATTATTACGGAGAACTTGTATGGCCCAACAATCTTTTAAAGCATCTGGAAGCTAGTTGATTTTTGCACCATAAAAGGTTTATCATTCACAAGAGCCATATTTGAGAAATAACCGATATTAACGGAGATTAATTTATAAAAAGCTTTGGTTTTATTGCTAGTCGATGGGGCTCTGGACAGGGTGGAGACCTACCTCGGCGCGGCTGGAATGTTTGTTTCATGGTACCAACTATTCAACGAGTGAGTACGCCATCAAGGCCCCACCAGGAGCGCGGTGGGAATTCCAAGACCGATGATATACCTAACTTCAGTCATAGATTTAGCTTCAAATTAAGTACGATCATGTATTGTAATGCAAATCAGAGTAATAAAATTCCAATTTCAATATCGAAATATTTATGATGTTCATATGTTGCATAGTGCATGTTTTCAGTTTTCCATCTAAGTTTGTGCTTCTTTTTGGGAAATGACACTAATCTTTCCTAAATTTTTCACCCAGTGTGCAATGTCATCCTTAGACTTTTAATTCGCCCAATGTGATCTCTCAACTATTCTTAAATATTCAATATAGTCCATAAACCTTTAATATATTCAATCTAATTCGTCAACTTTCCAACAAAGTCAAATCTCTCCTTTAATACTATTTACAAGTTTTCACAATTACACTATTACCCATATTTTGAAGAATATCTTTTCATTTTAATCATTTTCCTAGATCAATAACAAAAAATATGATTACATTTTGCTCTTTATTGATATTACGATAGTTCCACTTATAAATATTTTAGCTTATGGTCGTTATAATAGTAAAATAGGACATCATTTATAGTTGTATCATATTGATTTTCCTGCTATTTTATATATAAGTATTTTTATAAGGAAATTTGGAAATTATGATAATTTATAGATGGGTATGCGTACTCATATTAATATAAAGGGTTAATATCACGAAAAACCCCAAACCAGTACACCTGTGACAATTTTATCCCGAATTAATTTTTTGACCACTAAAAACCCCAAACTGGTACATCCGTGACAAATTTACTCCAAACTATTTTTTTGACCACCAAAAACCCTACACTGGTACACTTATGATAATTTTACCCCGAACTAATTTTTTAACCACCAGAAACCCCAAACTGATATACGTGTGATAA